TTTTTTTTTTTTTTTTGATATGTACAAAACTTCATTTTTTTTTTCATCCATCTTTATCTTCAATCGAACGCTTTGTTGTAGTTCATTCATTTGGAAAAAATCAGGAAACGGCGTTCCAAAAAAACGACGATTAATCAAAATTCATAGTCTTATCTTCCAAGCTACGTACTCAAATCAACTACGTGAGTGGTAGAGAGAAATTCAGTGATGCTCGTTTGTGTTTTATCTGGGTAACCTTATCGTTTTCCCTAATTTGATATAAACACGTGTGATCCGTGCTTATGCGTTATTAGGATGTTAACTGAACCCGTGTCTCGAAGTGAGCAGATTTGTTCGAAGGGTAGCTAAAGTGTGGCACTTGTTCGAGTAGAAAATTGTTAGATTTTTTGAATGACTTCAAATGTTCGAAAGTAAAAACACGAGAACTTATGTCGAGACGATTTAGGTGTGATTGTTGATGGGCTCTTTCTCGCTATATAAGTGCAATCCATCAATCATACCACCATCCAACATGACTTCCATGGATTCCCTCCCTCATGTCTTCCTCGTCAGCTTCCCCGGCCAAGGCCACATCAACCCCATGCTCCGCCTCGGCAAAAAACTAGCCGCCACCGGCCTTCTTGTCACGTTCTCCACCACCGCCAACGCCGGTCACAGAATGAAAAACGCCGGCAGCATCTCCGACGACCCAACGCCTCTTGGCAATGGCTTCCTCCGCTTTGAATTCTTCGACGACGGCCTCACCGACACCAGCCCCGCCATCTCCTTCGACCAATACATGCCGCAGCTCCGGCGACTAGGCGAAATTTCACTTCTCCAAATCTTGAAAAACCAAACCAAAGAAAACCGAACGGTCGCCTGCGTTATTGGCAACCCTTTTGTGCCTTGGGTGTGTGACGTGGCCGACCACCTCGGAATCTCCTCCGCCGTCTTATGGGTCCAATCATTGGCTGTCTTATCCATTTATTATCACCATTTTCATGGCTCTGTCCCCTTCCCATCTGAAACCCAACCAAATCTCGACGTTCAGCTGCCTTGTTTGCCACTTTTGAAGTACGATGAAATCCCGAGCTTCTTGCTTCCAAACGACATTTATCATACAATTGGGAAGACTATTTTGGATCAATTTTCGAACCTCTCGAACCCCTTTTGTATATTGATCGACACTTTCGAAGAGCTCGAGGCTGAGATCGTTGAATACATGTCGAAAATTTTTCCCATTAAGACGGTGGGGCCGTTGTTCAAGAATTGTAATGAAATCAAAACTAGTATTTCTGGTGATTGCTCGAGAATTGATGAATGTATGGAGTGGCTTGACTCGAAGCCAAAAGGGTCGGTGGTTTACGTGTCGTTTGGAAGCGTGGTGTATTTGAAACAAGAACAGGTTGATGAGATTGCTTATGGACTCTTGAATTCTGGGTTTTGTTTCTTGTGGGTTTTGAAACCTCCGGCTTCAAATCTCGAGGTCAAGCACCACGTTCTTCCCAAAGAGGTTAGCAAAATTTTTTCACTGTGGTATGATATTGTCAAACTGTTGAGGATGGTTGGAAGATGAGTCTCACGGTTGGCTAATTAAGGGGTTAAATAAGTAAGGAATACATTTTCATTGATATGAAGCGGAGCCAAAAGTAAAGTCATGAAAGCTTATGCTCAAGTGACAATATCATATCATTGTAGAAGATCGTGATTCTTAATATGGTATCAGAGTCATGTTCTTAGCTTAATCATTTCAATAGAATCCTCAAATGTCGAACAGAAAAGTTGGGGCCTGAAAAGTGTAGTCAAAATTGACGAAGTGTCGAACAAAGGGTGTACTTTGTTCGAGGGCTCCAATGGTCGTGATTCCTATCATGATATTAGAGCTATGCCCTTAACTTAATCATGTCAATAGAATTCTCAAATGTCGAACAAAAAAGTTGGGACCCTCGAAAGTGTAGTCAAAACTGACTCGAGTGTCGAAGAAAGGGTTTACTTTGTTTGAAGGCTCCAGAGAAAGGAGTCGAGCCTCGATTAAAAGGAGGTTGTTCGAGAGCTACATAGGCCTCAGAGGAGACTCTACGATATACTTTGTTTGAGGGGAGAATTGTTAGAGTCCCACCTGGGTTAATTAAGAGGTTAGTCATGAGTTCATAAGTAAAAAATACATCTCCATTGATACGAAGCATTTTGGAGAAGCTATAAGAGTTTATGCTGAAAGTGGACAATATAATATAATTGTGGAGAGTCGTGATTTCTAACGCCCTAAACCCAACAAAAATTAAACCAATATATTACCATGAATTCAATTTTTATTCATATTGTTTCTTGTTCTATTATAGTTCATGGAAGAGGCCGGCGAGAGAGGGAAGGTGGTTCAATGGAGTCCACAAGAACGAGTACTATCACACCCATCGGTGGCATGTTTCATGACGCATTGTGGATGGAACTCGTCCGTGGAGGCGATAAGCTCCGGCGTGCCGGTGGTGGCGTTTCCGCAATGGGGGGATCAGCTCACCAACGCCAAGTTTCTCGTCGATGTTTTCGGCGTCGGTCTCCGCCTGTCTCGTGGAGTCGGAGAAGACAGGGTAATCAAAAGAGATGAGATTGAGAAGTGCCTGAGAGAAGCCATGGAAGGACCCAAGGCGGTGGAGATAAAACAGAAGGCTGTGGAGCGGCAAATGGCGGCGGAGAAGGCGGTGGCTGAAGGTGGGTTCTCCGACAGAAATTTCAAACACTTCATTGATGAGATTAGGAAACGGTCTATTGGTTGTGGTGAGAGATTCCATGTCACTTGTCCCTCTACTACCTAGAAAATTACAAACGTTCAAGCATCATGTTTTTTTGGTTTTTTTTTTTGTTTTTAGTTTATATATATATATATATATATATATCGTTCAATTATGTTCATAATAACTATTCTCAATCTAAACATACATTGGCCAATATGATGCTTATTTAAATCGTATATCTTTATTTAAAAAAATTGTGGGGACGGCAAGATTTATATGAGTAAATAAGACCGTTAGTTAACACGTTTGAGTTTTAATACATATAAAGAAAAACATGTGAATTTGAGTTCTAATTTGGAGGATAAGCATTAACGAGACAAAAGAAACTTCCATCTTTGCCTTCAATGACATCAAAAAACGATCTATAAACCTTATTATGGTCATCCCTCATTAGTCCGCGGATTCCATTATCAAGAAGTATATCCACGGCTCCCCAACAAATTACCTAAATTCATAAGGATTTCGACCGCTATCCCCATACTCGATCCCTGCATGTGGAGGCCTTAGTCGACCACTACCAAAATGAAACTGGCTGATGATTTAAATCATTTTCGAGTTTGTAAAAAGTTCAAGAACTAATACATACATAAATACAACATTTAACTCCCCATACATCAGATTTACAATGAATAACATTAACCAGAACTCATTTTGTATTTTACAAACTACCTGACTTTCCCAAGGATTTCAAGAATTTGATCATAGGATCATACACATCTTCCTTCGCTTTCATGCTCAAAATGAAGTCAACATGGCCATAATTTTCAAGGTAAACCAATTCTGGTACCGACTTCAGCTCCTTGATCGTGTGCTGCAGATCTGTCCAATCCGACAACTCGTCGCTGCCCCCGTACGCCATCCACAGCGGCAAGGACTTAGGAATACGGCTGAGATCAAATGCAGGAGGCTTCCTTTGGCCATAGACTCTCAGATTCTTTAACAATCCATAGTCATACCTGGAAAAAGTACCCTTGCGGATCACTGGTAAAAGAAAAGGAAGGCAGCAGTTAAATCAGCTATATCGAACAGCCTCCCCATTCCCTCCAGGAGGAGAAAAACATTCAATTTCAGTGAGGATATTAGTGATGGTTTAGGATCGGTTTTTCTTTTAAGGAGAAGTTTTTGTTGAGAATTGATCATGGGTTTACAAGTAAAGAATACATTTCTATTAGTACGAAACCTATTGGGGAAACCCAAAGCAAAGTCATGAGAGCTTATGCTCAAAGTAGACAATATTATACCATCGTGGAGAGTTGTGATTTCTAATAGTTTTGTCAGTTCATTAATACGACAATGAACTACAAATTCTTGCTTAATTCTTCTTCTTTCAAATTCTAGAGTTTCAACAGATTTAACAACAGAAAAACTGATCCTAAATCATTAGTAATGTTCTCACTTTATTACAGTACGACAAAGATGACTCACGTTAGAAAACAGCTTGGGAATAATAACCGAAGTTCGGTGTCACGGCCCAAGCCCACCGCTAGCAGATATTGTTCTCTTTGGGCTTTCCCTTTCGGGCTTCCCCTCAAGGTTTTTAAAACGCGTCTGCTAGGGAGAGGTTTCCACCCTCTTATAAAGGGTGTTTTGTTCTCCTCCCCAACTGATGTGGGATCTCACATTTGGACATGTTGCGTTAAAGGAAATAAGAAGATTTTAAAACGTCAAGCAGAATTGGAGCTTTGATTTAAAGGAACAGGGGAAGGGTGGAAAGGGAAGGTATAGAAATTCAAGCAAGGATGGGAGGATCCTCGGGCTTTTATAAGGGGATGATGGTTCTGGAATTTCTTGAGCAGCTGGAGGGGTAGCTTGAATCAGAGACAAAGTTGATGAAAACTGAAAAGCGAGGGATTTATAGGAGATGAAAAGTCGCTCAGGAAAGAGATTAAAGAGCATATGGAAATCCCTTTATGGAGTAGTCTCACGGGAACACTAAAAGTAACTTCCCTAGAGAAGTCTCACAAAGTTTCACAATCAAATGTTTAAGGATTTATATTAGACTTCACAAGGGAACACTAAAAGTAACATCCCAACAGATATGCAAGTGAAAAACTTATAGATTCATCGAAATCATAGTATAATAGAACATGAAGCTAAAGAGGATACTGCAGAGCGTACTTTGGAAAAGATGGTGCAAGTTTTTTGCTGATGATGGATGAGGTTCGTATTCGAAAAATAAGTCGAACCGTGAGCCATTAAGGCAACAATTTTCACCTGCCACATTATAAGAAGGCCTTGTTAGGAAATCAAACGTCTGCAATTGAATAGATTGAACATTCAAACTTGATACTTTCCTATAAAGAACAGAGCAACATTTTGTAGTCTTTCCAATCAAAAACTCATTATCGAGTTTCTTTTCTAGTTATAACCCAAATTTTTTCGACTACAAGAAGAAACATGACAATCCTGACATCAATAATTATTGAATCATGCATTTTTTTAAGTACCATAATTGAAATTTTCTCATCCAAGGGCATTTAAATCCTGAAAAAGATAAATACTATATAGTATATAAAGTTAAGTTCAACAAAATGGATGAAAATACAGATATGCATGAGAGTAAAAAATGGAAGCTTAGCTAGACAATTAACTAAATAATCAAAAAGTAGCAAGAATTTCCTATCTGGATTGGAAGCCAAACAGAAGGAAAATAAGAAAAGAGAAAGAAACATGATGTGCTTTGCATTTAGAGAACCTGTTATTGAACTTAGAACATTGATGCAGTTAACGAGCCGATCACAAAGATCATCTAAAAGGACTGTTCCCCAATCGCTGAAGTAGGGTACAAAAGATAGACATTAGTGTTATGAATTATGCTGAAGCTAAAAATGCAACCAATTTCAAAATCAAAATTGGACAGCATAGGATGACAACCTTTTAAAGTTGAGTTCATGAAATCCCGCGGCAAGAATTATCTGCCGAGAAAAATATAGGAACAAGCTTATTACTAGTAATAATACATTTAACAATGCTAATTACACAATAACAAGCCAGGAATACCGTATCAAGATGTGTGTCAACCATTAGACGTACTAATGGAGCAGTGATATGCTCCAAGTACGATATGGGACTTAAAAGAGCAGCTGCTTCAACTTTCTCGGCTATGTCTGGCTGGGTAAGAGCAGCAAAAGACATAATTGTTCCCTGCGAAAAAAAGACAAAAACATCACAAAAGCAACGATAAAAAATTTCAGATAAAGAATGTTAGGAATCACGACTCTCCACAATGGTATGATATTGTCCACTTTGAGCATAAGCTCTCATGACTTTACTTTGGGCTTCCCCAAAAGGCCTCATACCAATGGAGACGTATTCCTTACTTATAAACCCTAGCCCAACTTGGGATCCCTCGCAACAATCCTCAACAAAGAATCTTATAAAAGAGGGTATATGAGACCTGTGAGTGCCCAACAACATAAAGTTTCCTCTTTGTCAATGAATTTATGTAGTCAATCATGCCTGCAAGATCATACAAAGCCAACTCTTCCCAACTCCAATCCCAAAACTCCTACAAGCAGAATATGCTAGAGTCAAAGACATAACCAGAAACTAAACATATTCAACTTATATTAAATTACTGTCAATATAGTGCAGAGGTTCGAGACAAAATAGGCTTTAGCAAATGAACACAGTTAGCATGAAACAAATGGTTCTTAAATATAATCTGTCATGTAACTGCAAAACTCCGAAAAAACTCACTCAAATTTGTTTGAACCTCCAAAATTAACTGTATGATACTCTCCACCTCAACACATTGATGAACACGTTGAGCACGGATGAGCAGCAGCATGTTTGTATGTTATATATCTTTCTAGATACACCCAATATACACATAACACAATGAAGAAATTTTCTATTAATATATTCTTACTCTGCATTTAATTAGCATCTTACCCGCCTTAGGCATATTATAATAAAGTAATCTATAAGTACCTTCTCATCCTCTGATAGGGATGTATGCCCATGACTCCACCGAGTTCCACGCACATTTCCTATCCACACATCAAATCCATTATCTGCAAGGATAAATCCTAAAGATTCTCTTGCAGAATTCAAAAACCATGCATCGCCACCCTGCACGAGCACCAGTTCAGGCAATGAAAGAAATAAAAAGCTAGTAGTTGGAACTCCTATCTGTAAGAATGATCCCAGTCTACAGATTATTCAAAATTCACAATCCATGTTTCAAAATGCTTTGAAATGTGCAGCAAACAGAAGGGAGAAGAATAACAAGGAAAAAAAAGAAAAAGAAAGACAGAAGTATAAGATACTTTCTTGGCTAAAAATTTTCCTGGAGCCTTTATGTCATTCATCTTACAATACCATTCTTTAAGTGAACTCGAAGGCATGTTTGAACAATTGGACTACAGAAGTTTTAAGGTTAATACTGACCTAAAAGAAAACCATAATTACTTTTTCTTGAAAACTAATCATTTTACTGGAATTTGTAGAAATGATGCAGTTTAAAATTTCAAAGAAACGAGATAAGTCTCAATCGTATAATCAAAATATCAGGCAACCTTGAAAACTTTCCAACTATCGCTGATAGGGTTGAACCATAAAGAGTAAAGTAATTTTACAAATACAGTTGCAAAACTGTAGGAAGACTCACCATGAACAGTCCATGGAGTAGCAAAATTGGAGGGCCCTTTTGCTTTTCCAAATCTCCATCGCATGAAGATACACGTTGAAGACCCAATAAAAATCCATCCTTCGTTTGTATCTAAGAAATTTATAACCAAATCACGTCCGTCAGTAATGCACAACCGTAATTAAGTACGCCACTAAAACCACAATTCATCATCCCAGTCTGCAATAATGAATAGCATTCCTCAGAATTCAAAAGAGTGATAAAAAGAAGATACTATTTAAAAATACATATGTATATGCAACGAACACGACTCTCCACAATGGTATGATATTATCCACTTTGAGCATAAGCTCCCATGGCTTTGTTTTGGGCTTCCCCAAAAGGCCTCATACCAATAGAGATAGTATTCTTTGATTATAAACTCATGATCATTCCCTAAATTAGCCAACATGGGACTTTCATCATCCAACATACGCTACAAATGCT